TGCATATTCATGCTATGTATGGTCATGATGGTGTGCGGGATTTCTTGCATATGAGAATGTTCCAGTCTTCTAGAAGGTGGTATTTTTTTTTTGGGGGGGGGGGGGGGGGGGGGGGGGGGGGTTGGGGGGGGGGGCGCAAGGGGGGTCTTTTGCATATTCCATGCCATGTATAAGCATGATAGTGTGTGGGATTTCTTGCATGTATGAGCATGTTTCAGAAAGTAGAGATTCTTATGTCATGTTTAACAGTCACAAACCTTTGCATAATGTTTGGGTTGGATGGAAATGGAGGGGAGAGGGGGGGGGGATTTTTATAAACTTCTGTTGTTTGGTTAAGCTTTTAAGAGGAGAACAAAACTTCTCATATAATTTTAGCCCCCTTCCAATTTTGGGGAATTTGGAGGGGAGGGGATTCAAAACATTTTCAAGGTAATTTCTAAAATATCCTTACTTATGTTTCTAAATTCAAAATTATAAGGGTAAACAGGTGGAATAGTTTTTAAAATCACACTCCTTTCCTTGCAAACTGAATAAGAAAAGAGTTAACTCTCATCTCCTTCATTGAAATCCCTTCCCTTCCTTTGAACCAAATAGACCCTTTTGACGGGAGAAGTTATTATGAGAAAAATAAAATAAGAAAAAGAAACGAGCTTTTTGGGAGTGGATTTTGCTCATGGTCTGCAAAATTGAATGAAGCACAGAATACTTAATGAGATACAAAATCTCAAAATAACATTCAGATGGCCTTATCAAGACTGTAAAACACAACTGATGTATTTTTACTACTTTAAATCCAAAATGTGTGGGAATTTAATAATAGTTATACTTGAAATTTTCCCTGTACCCTAAAAGAGGAAAACATTGTTGTGCTATTTGTTCTTAAAGTTTGCTAATTGATCCACCTACATGTGGTGCATGCAACCATGTATGCTTTTCCAAATGTACTGTTTTAGCTTCAAGTAGTATAGTTGTTCCTTGATCCTTCCGCAAGATCTGGGATCCAAATATCTGTGTCACTTGTTTGATAGTTACAACTTACAAGACAACTCTCTATTAGACTCAGTCATACTCATGCTACTTGATAGATTCCTATCATTACCATTTGATCTATTGTTATTTATTCCTCTTTAAATATTTGTTACCTGCAGTTTTTGTCTATGCTATGTCATGCAACATGCTAGTTCTCCTGATGGCTTTGTCCAAGCGAAGGTTTCCTCCGTGGCTGCTCAGTTGATGAAAAGGGGTTGGTAAGCAGTGCATTTTGTTTTTGTTTAGTTTATTTAGGAGCTTAACTGAATATGAAACCTGCATATGCAACCTTGTCTCATGTATAATTGGAGACTTGATTCTTTAACAAACTTTTAGCATGTCTGTATCTTACTTTAATGAAGACAATGAAGGATTGTCAGATTCTCATTGAATTGAATGATTAGCTTTGTGGGCTGGAGGAGCTATTACTGTCTTAGAACTTGAATCACCAGAGTGTGATATATGAGTGAGTGCAGATGCTGGAGATATTTTGTCAAACTCCTGCATTGTAAAAAATCTTACAGTGCAGATACAACTTTAGTGCATCCATATCAATTATTTACATTTAAAGATAGTTATCCAAATTCATTTTCACTTTCAATAAACATCAATGACTTCTAACCATTATTTGTAAATGGCTCGGGCGAACTGACCTGATTTGTTTGCAGCTGCAAACATGGTATGGGTGTAAGTGGCTCAATATTGATTTATGATCCTAACCAACCCAGCTACATTTCAGCAGGTTGAATTGGACATTTTTTTGTTGACCCAATTACAATCAAGTTGGGTAATAGGTTAATGAGGTTTTAACTTGATCAACTTGACCTCTTAATAATGATAAATACTAATTATCTAGTAAAATCTAATGAATCTATCAAACATGAGACACATCATTTAGTGTTATTTTCACTAATTTTAAGCGCATGATGCTCTCAACGTAACCTCTTGCATTTTAGTTTGTTTATTGTTATTATGTGATCCAAATAATTGTTAGTGTTTCTTAGGACATTTTTGTATTTTTCTTGTTAGTGTTGTTAAGGTCTGTTGGTACATCTATTATGTCGTTTGTAATTTTTAGTATTGTTCTGGACATGTATTATAACTTGAAAAATTTTGTATTTCATTTTTCTGCTTTTTTTGTTTTTCAAAATTTTAGAATAAATTATTCAGTTAATCAATATACCCAATTACTCAATTCGACCTAGTCATTTGTCAAAATGCTACCTGACTCAACCCAACTCAACTCGATTAAGTTTAATTGTGTTGCGTCCTAAATTCAGCCAAACCTCAAACCCGCTTACACGATTAATTTTTGGAGTGATGATTTCACATTCTATGTGAGAATGATCTGTTGTGATTCAGGAATTGTGTGTCTTGTTGTACACACACCAATCTTATTTATAGAGTGAATACAATAAATGATAGAGATATGAATCTCTTATATTATGGAAACTAATCTAATCATATCCCTAATTGATAGTGAGGATAATATATGTAATATATGTATCCAACAATATCTGTACAATATCTGTAACACTCCCCCTCAAGCTGGAGCATATATATCATATGCGCCAAGCTTGTTACAAATATAATCAACCCGAGGCCCTTTAAGAGATTTTGTGAACACATCTGCTAACTGGTCACTAGAGTGGACAAATTCAGTGGTGATTTCTCCTGAGAGCACTTTCTCTCTTACAAAATGACAATCTATTTCTATGTGTTTAGTCCGCTCATGGAAGACTGGATTGGAGGCAATGTGGAGAGCAGCTTCATTATCACAGATGAGTTTAGTTCCCTGAGTGTCTCCAATTTGAAGTTGCTTGAGAAGTTGTTGTAGCCATGTAACTTCACTTGCAGCTGCTGCCATAGCACGATATTCAGCTTCCGCAGTGGATCTAGCAACTGTAGTTTGCTTCTTGCTTTTCCATGAAATTAGGTTGCCTCCAATTAGAACACAATAGCCAGAGGTAGACCTTCTATCTGATGGTGATCCTGCCCAATCAGCATCTGAATAACAGACAATTTTGGAATTGCCTTTATCCTCGTATAGTAGTCCTCGGCCTGGTGCCTTCTTGATATATCTGAGTATCCGCATTGCTGCAGTCCAATGACTATCACGAGGATCGTTAATGAATTGGCTTACCACACTTACTGGGAATGCGATGTCTGGCCTGGTGACAGTAAGATAGTTAAGTCTGCCAACAAGTCTACGATATCTTTCTGGGTCATCCAATGGCTCCCCCTGACCAGGAAGAAGCTTGATGTTGGGATCCATCGGAGTATCACTAGGGCG